GTTTGAGATCAGCCTGACCAACATGCTGAAACCTCATCTCTACTCAACATACAAAATTAGCTGGGTGTAGCGGCATGCACCTGTAATCCCAGCTACTCAGGAGGCTGAGGTAGGAGAATCTCTTGAATCCGGGAGGTGGAGGTTGCAGTGAGCCAAGATCGTGCCACTGCACTCCAGCCTGGGCGACAGAGTGAGACTCCATCTCAAAAAAATAATAAACAGATGGAAAAAGTTATACAATGCTGACTCTAATCAAAAGAAAGCTGAAGTGACTGTATTCACGTTAGACAATGTCAATTTCAGAGCAAGCTGCGTCACCAGGATAAAGAGAGACACAGATAAGGATCCGGGAGTCCACACATTGAGCAGACATGCCAATCCCAAATCTGTATGTCCCCAAAATACATAAAACAAAAGAAGAAACAGAGGTAGAAACAGGGATAGTCACAATCGTATCGGAGACTTCAACACTCATCTCTTAGTAAGAAATGACAGCAGTGCAGAGAAAAATGGTAACTAAGGATCTTCACTTCCTAGGAGTGACAGAAAGCAAAAGGAAATTTGTAGACATAGAGGATTTCAACACCATGAACCAAGTCGATCTAATTGACATTTGTGGGATAGACCACCCAACAATAGCAGAATATATGTTATTTTGGTGTGCACGTAAAATGTTCATCAAAATAGACTATTTGCTGGGTAACAAAACAAATCTCAACAAAGTTAAAAATAATTGAAATTATCCAAAGTATGTTCTCTGGCCAAAAAAAATTGAACTAAAAATATATAATAGAAAGTTATCAAGAAAAAAAAATGAAACATCTGGATTAAAACACACACATTTAAATGACTCACAGGTGAAAGAAGAAATGATAACAAAGTTATAAAAACATTTTGAACTGAATGAAAATACAAGGACAATACTGTATATCGGAAGTTGCAGGACACAGCTAAGGTGGTATAAGGAGAATGGGGCTTATAATGGAACACACAAAAGGTCTCCAACCATAATCTAATCCTAGTTCATGCTTTCAGCTTCAGAAGGTAAAAAAATGAAAAGTAAGTGTGAAGTAAGCAAAAGAGAAATAACAAAGAGAACCCTGCGTGTGGAAGGGAGCTGTGAGCCCTTGTGGTTCTGAGCATGGCTGTTAGCTCGAGAAGAAACCGTCTCCTCTTTCTCCCTGAGCTTGCTCCAGCCAGCTCTGCAGCTGCCCCAAAACCATGGCATGTGCCACCATGCCCAGATTGTAGGGCCTCGGGGGCTCTTTTAAAAGCCATAAAGACTGAACTCTTCTCAAAGTAAACAAGCACCCATGAAACCTGAAAATGGAGGTGCCAGGGTCTGTTTCAGAAGCTGGATTCCCCTTCCCTTTGGACTTCAGAAATAAGTCAACAAATGCATCTACATAAAAGGAAGGGGGTCAAGGCCTTCTGGGAGCTCCATTGCGCCACACAGCAAAGAATCTCATGGGGATTAATGATTTGAAGACGTCAAAAAGCAGCAGAGGGTAAGAAGTGCTGTTAACGGGGAAGACAAGCCGGGTGCAGTGTCTCATGCCTGTAATCCCAGCACTTTGGGAGGCTGAGGCTGGCGGATTACTTGAGGTCAGGAGTTCGAGACCAGCCTGACCAACACGGCGAAACCCCATCCCTACTAAAAATACAAAAATTAGCCGAGTGTGGTGGCACATGCCTGTAATCCCAGCTACCTGGGAGGCTGAGGCAGGAGAATCACTTGAACCCAGGAGGCAGAGGTTGCAGTGAGCCAAGATCGCGCCATGGCAGTATGGCCTGGGCGGCAGAGCAAAACTCTCTCTAAAAAGTAAAAATAATTTTTTTTTTTTAAAAAAAAGGGAAGACAGTACTGTTTAGATGACCCACGGGGCGGTACACCTGCAGCCACACCTCGTCACCGCTCCTGACGCCACCAGCTACTTGCCAGCCGTGTCGCTAAGGTGCGGGGCAGACTGCGGAACTCCACATGGTCACACTCTCCGGGGACCGATCCCCATCTGTGCTCCCATTGTGCCCGATGCCATTGCTGCCCACACACAGGGCACCGGTGCCAGTGAACACTGGAGGAACGAACAAGCAGTAAGGGTGGGTTCAGGAAGCCCCCACCTTTCCAACCCAACATCACCACCACACTGCTGCTTTTTGCTGAAAGTCACCGGAAGGTCCTTCTCTCTACGGTTTCCTCTTCTTCCCGCTCTGAGACTAGAGCTGTGGAGCAGGCCACCAGATGTTACACACCTGCCAGTGGTGCTCTTTAATAAAACTCTGACATGGACGTGGCCGCTGGCCACAGCAAGAGGCCGACCACGGAAAGCTGCATGCAGAGGTTTCTGCGATTCCAAGCCCCTTCCTGCTCAGACCAACCCCATCATCATGAAGATAGTACCGGATCTCAGCTTAACAGGAAGCAGGGGTCAGTGTGGGCCTGGAGAAACAGGTCCTCGAGGGCGTGACACAGACCCGGCATTCCTTCAGAAGAAAAACTGAGGCCTCCAGACCCCTGGCCTTCCACCCCTGGCTGAGAGTCCTCCTCAGGCAGGAAGAGCCAGGGGTCCTTCAAAGTCAAGGTAGTCCTGGTCAACCACTCTCCAGGCAGCAGCAGGGGCACATTTTAATCACCCCCCCCCAGCCCCCCGGAAGAATGGCACCTGGTCAGGATGCCTCCTCACCCAATTCAACATTTGACCCATCCAGCTAACGGCGCTAACCTCGTGCTCAGCCGCAGGCCTAGCGCGATGGCCGCAACGCCTCCCGGCCCTGGCGCGAACACCTCTGCCCTCAGTGAAATCCTTCGTCCCGAGCCGGCCGGAGTCACTTTCCCTAGGTTTGAATTCCACTTTCACTTGGAGGCCCAGTTTTGCTGGAGACCAGTTCTCTGTGCCAAGGATGGGGTTTCCCATGATGCCCGTGCCAGCTGTGCTTGCTTGGAAACTGGCAACCACAGAAAGTTCCTGAGGTCATGTCCTGGGGTCATAAACCCCAGGCAATCAAGAACTCGGCTCCTGAGAGCCTTCTGGAGGGACCCCCTAGGAGAGCAGGCACGGCCCCCACCTGCAGCACAGGCCTGTGTTTCATACGTAAAAGTCATCTGCAGAGAAAGCAGGCCCAGGCAGCTCCCGGGGCTCAGCTGCAGGACAGGAGATACCTCCGGCCTCTGCCCCCAAAAGCACATCTGCCTCACATAGCTCAGAGCTCAGCTTGGGGTGCCAGACCAACGGGGCCATGTTGAGATAAGAAACAGCTGCCCAGGGGGTTCCTAGGTGGCCAGCATAGGCTCTTCCACAGACGGTCATCGCAGTGGCTGGAGTCCTGAACTTATGCAATCCCCGTATTAATGAGGGCTGTTTTGGGGTCCAGATGGAAAATTCACACCACCATCCCACACACATCCTAGCTTGCCTGACTGGAAACTGAGGAGTCAAGGAAAAAGCAAAAGAGGCAGCATTCGGGACCAGCGCCGTATCTTTTTACTTCACAGAAGCCCACGGTCAAGATCAACCTTCTCAGAAATTCTGCAAGACACTGACACTTACTTATATATTAGAGCAGCTAGACCCAAAATACGGGGCTGAGGACCAGCCCCTCCCCTCCAGTAGCTCGCTCGCTGTAGGACCACCACCTGGCTGTTTAGATATTGTCAGTTAGGACCTCAAGTAGCAAGGCCTCCCGAGGGTTGTCGGGCTAGAAACAGGAGCTCCGTGTTCTCTGCCACAGCATGCCCCTGTGATTTCACAGGGGTACCCTCAAACCACAGGAGAGGCAGGGAAAAGAAACCTCAGGTATAACAGGCGTGCACAGTGCACCCCCCATCCTCAGCCTTGAGAATGAATGGGAACGTGCTCTCTTCTACAAGACACATATGCATCTACTTTCTGAGATTCTTCAGGAACCTCATCCAAATGCTGGCCTTTTGCCGGTCATGCTGTGGAGGTAAACTGAGGCACCTTCCACGGCCCAGTTCACTTTCCCCTCCTCCTGCTCCTCTCGGGAACTACCACGGATCTGCTCAAAGGCCTGGACTCACCGAGAGGACTCCCGAATCTACAACTCCAGTCTTGGTTTTCAATGAGAAAACTGTTTTGTGACTGGTTCTCTCGCACTGTGAACCAGCAGCAGAATCAGTGGCAACAGCAGGTGTTTCCACCCTTCATGCTTGTCTGTCCCCCCACCCCCATCTCATTTACATCTCAATAAACACCAGGGAAATGACAATTACCCGAGGTACCTTTCCACCACAGCCCTGCCGGCCCCAATCAACAGTGCATTTTCTTTGAACAGCTGTAGACTCTGAGGCACGGTGTAATAACTCCCTTCTTTCAAAGAAAAGTGAATCAGTAAGTTAATAATAAGCTGTTGTTTCCCAAAAATCTGGAGTTCCTTGCGTGCGAAGTTATGGCAATAAGCCATGTGCGATTCTTGATTAAGTTTTAAAGAGAAGACACGACCCAATCAGCGCGCAGGTAGGTGGTGAGGCCTCAAGCCATAAATATGACCTATTCTTTAAAAACAGAACAAGCAGCAAGACAGTCCAGCCGGCTACCCCACGGAAGCCGCCGGGAGCAGGTGGCGCTGCAGGCCTCCCAGGCTGCGCAGACAGCTCCCTGGTGCCGGGTCGGTGGGATTCTCATTACAGCCAGCAATACACAGACTGGGCCTGGCCTCCCCCCCGCACCCCAACCCAACGGCTGCCGTGTGAACAAGCATCCACCTTACAAATGGGATGAAACACACACCCATGCTCTCGGAACGCAGGCCCAAGCCCCCTCCAAATGCATGCCCAGCATGAATGTGAAAGCGGGCACACGAAGCATCCTCTATGATCGTCCCTGCACCCCTCAGAGGACAGACCCCAAACTGTCAACTCTCCAGCCACATCCGTGTGCACGCTAAAAACAGGAGAGCGCCCAAGTGGAAGGAGCCCGTGCAGAAGGCGGCCGAACCCAAACCAGCAAAGCCTCCGCCCCACTCGGAAAATAAACACTCACGGCCCGGAGCCGGCGGTCTGCTCCTCTCCCCATCGCTCTGCTGTGAGAATCTTTCCCAGCTCATCCGAGACTCAGTCCGGCTTTTGCGCAAATCAGCTTCCAGCTTCTATGACTCAGCAAAGAGCTGGGCTTTTATTTTTCAGATGGAATTTACCATGTGGTGACTACATCCAGGGGGAGGAACCATTTCCCCAAGCCGTTTCCCAGCAGAGCCCTTGAGCCAGGATCGCCCAAGCTCCTCCCGCGTACGTTAAGGCCACACACAGAGGCATCATCCGAGCCCCCAGCCCGGCTCCCTGCACGGCGCCTTCAGGCTTAGCGGAGGAAGGACTGGCTGCTCCGCAGGGCTGAAGGCACAGCCGCGCAGCTGGGATCCCGGTGCCGCTTGGCTCTGTTCAGATGCAGAGGGGCCTGGGCTCCGGGCTGGCAGTCTCACGTGAAAACCAGCGAGCGGCAGAGGCCACAGCTGGACCAGCCCTGCCCGCTCCGCTCCAGGACTGCGTTCTGGCCGGCTTTCCCTCCTGCTTGGAAAACCCCCTTCAGGACTGCAGAGCAAGCAGGTTAATAATGGGAATGCACTTCCACTCTGAGGGTATCTATTTTAAACAGCAGGTGGTAGAACCGATTCGCACCCACTCGACTGCGCGCTGCGTGGAATGAAAATGCAGACGGGACCAGACACGCGAGACCAACGGCATTCCTGCGTGACGGTCAAGCACGTGAGCTCGCCTGCCCCAGACGCAGTCCGTCACCAGCCTCCGGAGAAGCCGTGGAACGGAGGCGCTCTGTGGAAAACGCAGGGTCTGCCACGGCTTCAAGCGGGAGGGCACTTTCAGTCCATCTGGTCCGATGCCATCAAGGGAGCCATTAGGGCCGCCGGTGGCCTGAAGCTCCCGCCCTGCCCTGTCTCTAGCCCCCAGGACCTGCGCTGAGGCTGCATGGAGCCCGGACCCCAGAGCAGGCCTGCGCGCCCAAGTTCTGGGGTCAGCCCCGGAGGACCTGCATCCCCTCTGCTCCCAGTCCGCTCTGCCTCAGTTCCCTTTCCTACCCCCCGCATGCCCACCTGCCTCTTCCAGTCAGGGCCAAAGGTCACTTCGCCCCAAAACTGAGACTGACAGGCACCACCCTGAGAGGAGCCTGAAGAGTGAATGCCAATGAGAATGCACCAGAGGATGGCACCGGGAGGCCGGGACTTCGGGTTGTATCTGCTGTCTGTCTCCATCTGGCCACCCTCGTAAGTTAGAACAAGCAACAAAACTGCCCCGATTAAAACCATGGCCACACGTCCAGGATGCTGCAACAACCCTCCAAGGATCACATGTCCCGACTCCTGCAATAGTCACAGCCACCCACTGTCCCTTGTCACCAATCAGTGGCTGCCTCTGTGTTACAGGGGAGGAGGCCAGAGCGCTGACGGGCCCTGCAGCTGCCCCCCTAGTCACACCCTCGTCAGGTCCTGCAGCTGGATTCAGACCCTCCCCTGGCCGCCCTGGAGCAAGAGGGTTCCACGAAGGTGGCTCAGGGTCCACACCCGTCCCCGAGGGCGGCTGCTCCTCCGTGGGAGGCAGACCAGGGGACAACCTTCCCGCAGGGCAGCGCCCCTCAGCCCGGCTGTCCTCCTGCTGGAATGGATCTGGGGAAACAGCACCAGGACAGTGTGTGCACACAGATGCGACTCTATTCCAGATACTTTCATAGCACGTGCCCCGGTCAGGCTGTTGCAAGACTTTAAATATAGCTCACTTAGGGATGATTATGGCAATGTTGTCCATAATATAACAGTGAATAATTGGAAACAGCCCCCACGTCCAACAACAGAGAAGTGATTTAACTAGTGATGGGAAACGCACATACATCCGAATACAATGGCACCATTTAACAACCTCCTGAGTCCCAGCTTAACAGAAAGATGTAAACAACCTATTGTTAAGATTTTTATAAGCCAGCTCTTAAAAAATGTGTATAGTATGATCCCATGTTTTTAAAAATGTGTGCATGTGCGTGTTGCACTCAAGAAAAATAAAGCCCAAAAGTGTAGATACCAGGATGTAAAGTGGCCGTATCTCCAGGTGACAGGATCCCAGGTGACATGGTATTCTGTTTTTATCTTTGAGCTGTAATTTTTTTTGTAGCATTGGAAACAATGAATATGTATTTTTAGGATCAGAATCTATTTTCATTTTCAAACATGCACATGCACGTATGTGCTTTTGATTCCTGCAGTAAACACGCCCCTCGCAGCCGGTGAGTCCTCACCCGGAGCCCAGAGGGAGACGCTGTCCTTTCTGAATCCCCACACTGGTGGAGGCGGGAGCAGGCGGGGTGCTGGGGCCAGGCCGACGCTGACATTCGAGCTTAGCAAGCAGCGTGCTCTTTCAATCGCATTTGTTCTTCTAGTTGTAAAAGTAAAACGTGCTCGTTGTAGAGAATTTGGAAAATAAAGGAATTTATGAATAAGAAAACTACCATCCTTGCTAGCTCTTGAGAAGCCGAGCTTTGAGCAGGGACTCCCAGCCACCTTGCCAGCTGCAGCCCCAATTCTTCCAGATCCCAGAAACCGAGGCTCAGCACCGGGGACAGAGCTGCCGCCCCCAGGACCTGCTCCCAGGAAAGGAGCCGCATCTGGGACCACCACCACCTCCAGAGAGCCTGTGTCTCAAGTGGCGGCCTCCCCAGGCACGAGGCCCAGGTCCGACCCCACAACCCGTCCCGGGCTTCCCTGTGCTACCCACAGGCAGTTGTCGCCTGGCCTTTCTGGGGGCGCTTGGCCACTCCCACGACCACACCCAAATCCAGGGCTCTGCTGCTCCATTGCCAATTCCCAAACCCACTTGTTCCCCCACACTGACCTGGTATCTCCACACCATTCCCCGGGGGCCTCTCGGACCCGGCGGGTCCAAAACTGGCCTGCCCTGCCCCAGACTTCACTTGTACTGTCATACTGCAGCTCCCGGCACAGCCATTCACCAGTTATTACCCAAGCAAAAACATGGCTGCCTTCCCTTTCTCCTCCTTCCAGGCCCTGCACGCAGCTGTTGGACCCACCATCCCCACTCCTGTCACGCAAAGCCACCTCCTCCTGGAGTCCTGCCAGGACTGCCCTCGGGGGCCCATCCTCCATCCCTCTCACGACCGAGACCTGTTTTCGTGACTCCCACGTGTGTCTGTGTTTTTACTACACAGCTACGAATTCATCATTGCTGCCTTTTGTGTCTTGGAAAAACAGCACAGATGGTATCGTGCCCTACACGCCCTTTTTCGGTTTTCTCCTCTCACTGAACGTCACTCCCTTGAGGGTGCTGGCGCGTGAGCTGCGTCCGTCTTCGCTGTGTCCCCACGCATGATAAACCATGGGCTGTGCTGGCTTCCCACCTCTTCCCGGCTGACGGGGAGTCAGCGGGTCTGTTTCTGCGTCTTTGCAAATGGCGCTGCCGGAGTGCTCCTGTCTGCACCTCGAGCCCATCTGCTCAGGAGCTTTCAGAGCAGGTGCGGGAATGGGAGGCGGCGGGGCTGAGGGACAGGCGCCTTCCACTGTTCCAGCACCTCGAGCTGCTGCCCAAAGCAGCGACCAGGATGAATGCCCGTCTCCCGACACCTCCCACGCCTGATGGCAGCTGAGGGGCAGAGGGGCTTCTCCCTGTTGGATTTAATGTGCGTTTCCTGAGTGCTCGTGATCAGCCGCTGCATCAGTTTCTGCTTCTGGGGCTCACCTGGTCCCCCTTTCCCGCTGTGTGGAGTGTCCGGCACCTGTGGCTTTGAAGGCGGCCACTCTGCTTCAGGATAGGAGTCTTCGTAGTTTTTATGTCGCCTTCCATCCTGCAGAAACTTTAAGCTGAGCCATTTTACCTGTTTTCCTGTTCTATGCTTTTGTTTCTCGCTTAAGGGGTGTCTCTCTCGTGCATGAAAACATCTTCCCAGGTTTCCTCCTGAAGGTCGCTCGGCTCTTCACCCTCGGGTCTTCTGTGTGGAAGCCAGGCATGCCATCTTCCTCCTGGAGCCTGGTGCTCCCACTGGCCTGACCACGCCAGCTTGGGCGGCAACCCCGTTCCGTCTTCGGGGTCCCTGAGCTGTACTCCGATGGCCTCTGTCAAGCTCCACCCCAATGTGCCCCTCTTTAGTGATATAATCTTCAAATTTGGCCTTTCTGTGTCAACTTGCAAAGTTCAATAAAAACTGGTTTGGGTTTTGACTGGAATTCTAATGAGTTTATAGATTAACTGGGAGAGAACTGGCATCTCTTTGACATTGAATCTTGTGAGTGTAGGATAGTTCTCCATTTATTTAGGACATCTTTCATGTCTTCAGTGAAGTTGTATAACTTCCCCCAGAAGGTTTTACACAACTTGTGATGCATTCACTTCTTGATGCCTGACATTTGTGCAGCCGTCAGAGGGTGTGTGTGATGCTAAGTGGTACCTTTCCTCACAACCAACAAGGGGGTGACACTCAGGAGTGCCGCTGACTTCACCTGTACCATACACAAGCAACTGGATGAAATCTCTTAGTCCTAAGAGTTTCTTCCTATATTCTCTTGTATTTTCTCTTCTTTTCAAGACAGAGTCTCACTCTTCCCAGGCTGGAGTGCAGTGGCGTGATCTCGGCTCACTGCAACCTCTGCCTCCCAGGTTCAAGCAATTCCCCTGCCTCAGCCTCCCAAGTAGCTGGGATTACAGGCGCCTGCCGGCACGCCCAGCTAATTTGTGTGTTTCTAGTGGAGACAGGGTTTCACCGTGTTGGCCAGGCTGGTCTCAAACTCCTGACCTCAAGCGATCCGCCCACCTTGGTGGATTACAGGCGTGAGCCACTGTGCCCGGCCATTCTCTTGTATTTTCTGTGTAGAAAATCATTTGCGTTTTCTCCTTTCCAGTCCTCATACTTTTATTTTCCTACCTTTTTGCGCTAGGTAGGGTCTCCATGACACAACATTAGTCATTCAGGAGAGGCACATTCATTCACGAGTGATAACCAGCACCCCCTTCTCACTTCTGTCTTGCAGGGACACGCACCAGAGTCACTGCAGGATTTTGGCGGGTTCCCTTCCTCAGGTTAAAGACTCTGGGTTCCGAATTTGCTAAGGGCAGATTTTTCTGA